CTGCGAGTATAGCACGCACAAAACCTCGATATTCCTCTCTCGCATTTCCCAAAAATCACGGACGTGTCCGCTCACTTAATTTTATTCAATTATTCTGTCACACTTAATGTATTCCGATATCCCCAGACGTTTATCAAAATTACACCCAATCATCTTTTTATAATTTGCTTTGTACGGGCATGTTTATGAATTATGGAAATTAGGGATAATGTTCGTTTTTATCACATAATGAATTTTTTCCTCAACGAGTCTCGGAGGCGGGGTTTTTTCTATGCCGCTGCGGTGAATGATAATAATTAATCACGTTATCTTTGGTAGGAACTACCGGACCCTGAAACGGCGAGCTTAGAAGATGTCATCGGGTTCGTGATGATAGATCGTTCCTACCCTGCGACTCGATCTGATTGCGCTGGAAATCCGTTCGAGATAAAAGTCTGAATTACTTGAATACTTGCTAATCTAATCCCAGTCCAGTATTAGACCAGTTGGAGAACAAGGAAGTTAACAATTGCCGAGAGGCTGAAACCGTTCATTATCGTAGAAAATTGATGAAGCATCTGTAACGGTCTTAGGTTTTTTCTCTACCTTTGCTAGAAACTACTATTTTCTATGTTCCTCAAACTATTTTCTGTTAAACAATAATTATCCCATAGTCACACAGGAAACACCAGTAAATTTTACGAATACTTTACAAAAATATTTTATTGCCACAAATTGATTGGACATTTTAAAAATATTTAAAATTATTTAAAAAAACCAATGGCGTACGATTTTTTTTTTTTTTAAATGTCACCTACTTTCCCAATAACTACGCCACTGGAGTATATTTTGGAATAAGTTATCCATGAAAAATAGTCCCTACTAAAAAAATGTCATCTCCCAAATTTCATCACTCACTCTTTTATGTAAGTGAAGTTACAAGAAAAATAATATAAATATTTGAAACTTTTAACACCCTGTATATCCGTAGGGAAATTTGTATAGGGCAAAATTTGATTATCTTCATCGGTAGAATACGCCATTAAAGTTGGGCAAAACTTATCGTTAACACCCTGTGTAAATTTTCATGACAATCAGGTTGATGTTATACAGGGTGGTCCGAATTTTATGCAAGAAACTTCGAGGGTAGATAGATCCCTTTAAAATAGTAGGTGTTTGCCTGATAAACATAGGTCCGGAACGGATTCGTTTTAGAGATACAGGGTGTTGAAGTTGTTAAAAAAAAATTGATTTTTTGTTCATATCTCCGGAATCCATCAACCGATTTCAGTATAATTTAGTACAGATAATGTATGACAGTAGGCCTTGTATTCCCTAAAATATGAGTTCTAAAGGTCCAACCAGTGGTGTACAACTGGAAAGGGTCACCCTTTTTTATAAAAAAAAAACTACGCCACTGTATTTTTTACAAGCTGTTGTACCGAATTTATATTCTAATGCACAAAATACGTAAAAAAGGTAACTTGAATTTTTTCCCTAAAGTTCACCGTTCTCAAGTTATTCATACCAATACAATCCCCTTGTGGCAGACACTTCTAACCATAATATTACAAAAATATTTATGTTTATGCTTAAAAGTAAGTGCAATTTGTAAGCACATCAACAAAATTCTTTCCACATCACTTGTGAGGTAGTGTTCCTGGTGTGTTTTAGTTTTCCCTGGAGGCATTATCTTTACAAATAAGAACAATTTAAATCAAAATAATAATAAAAATACATGTATTTTACCAAGCAACAACAACTAAACAAGAAACAAAATTAACGTTAAGTATTTACAGCAATTGTTTAAAATTCGAACCACCCACATCGATACATTTCTGACATTTTCTATTAATGGAACTAATTGAAGCTAATATCATGTGGTGGTTTTCTTTTAATTCATTACACCTGTCTTCTATTCGCTGCATTAGTTGTGGTCTAGTATCTATCGGAGTAGAGTAAACTTTTCAAGTAGGTCACCCCAAACATAGAAGTCCAGGGAGTTTAGATCTGGCGATCTGGCTGGCCAAGACACTGGACCCTCGGCACCATTATGGTTGACATTGGCATGTAGAACTTTTCAAATTTTCAATTTACTCACCCCAAGTTGCCGAAACGTTCTTCGTGTACTTAGCCGAGGATCGTCGTCAAATACTTTTAAAATTTAATTTCTGTGCCTTTCATTCCTTTGTCGTGATTTTCCAAATATTGTTTTAATCCAAAAAGATGAAAGCGATGAGTGTAAAGAATTTTGTTGATGTGCTTACAAATTGCACTTACTTTTAAGCATAAACATAAATATTTTTGTAATATTATGATCTGAAGTGTCTGCCACAAGGGCAGGGGTATTTGTATGAATAACTTGAAAATGGTGAACCTTAGGGAAGAAATTCAGGTCACATTTTTTACTTATGTAGTGCATTAGAATATAAATCCGTTACAATAACTTGTAAAAAATACAGTGGCGTAGGTTTTTTTTATAAAAAGGGGGTGACCCCTGTCCAGTTGTACACCACTGGTTAAACCTTTAGAGCTCATATTTTAGGGAATGCAAGGCCTACTATTGTACATTATTTGTACCAAATTTTATTGAGATCGGTTAATACATTCCTGAGATATAAACAAAAAATATATTTTTCTTAACAACTTCAACACCCTGTATCTCTAAAACGAGGCCGTTCCAGACCTATGTTTATAAGGCAAACTCCTATTATTTTAAAGAGATCTATCTGTCCTCGAAGTTTCCTGCATAAAATTCGGACCACCCTGTATATACCGATTTAAACTGGAATCATATGATTCTCCCTGTTCTGTTATCTTTGTTTAAATCTTATTCTAGTAATAAATACCAGTTTGTACAGTATGTAAATTCCATCAATCTTCAGGGGTTCCACAAGGGTCAATCTTGGGACCACTGCTGTTTGTTATGTTTATTAATGATATGATTTAACTGAATACCTCGACCTTAACTGTTCTTGGAAGTTAGATTACAAGATAATCTTGTCAACTTATATGGGTTGGTGTTCAATTAATAATTTACCTCTGAAATTGTTGCATTTCTAAGTAAATACATAAATAAATATTATTCACCGACTATAATTTTGATTATAGATCGACTACAAAGAACTATGCTGCAATAAACTCAGTAAAATTTCGGTTACGATCGATTCGAAGAAGAGTATAATATTCCTCTGGAACGAACTATATCACTTCCATTTGGCAGCTGGCGAGGCTAGAGGAGCTATCGACCGAACCAGCGTACCCATCTATCGGCGCATTTGCCGGATCGTTAGACAATATAACAATTAGCAGATATTAGATGACGGTGGGTAGAGCATGATCGTTTACTCCACGGCATGATCTAGTTGTAGCTGCACGGGTTGCGTACGCGTGAAGTATGTTCGCGGAATCCGCCGGGATGTCGAGGGGGCTGCAAGGCTGAAGAAGCGGTCGGGCCGCATTCCCGGCCGCCGAAACCGACTCGCATCGACTGCCGTCTGCCGCGGTGCCACATAGTGCGGGTTGTCCCCAAATCTGACAACGCTAAGATACAGAATAAAACTATTTCTGACTTATCAACCCTCAGTTTACAGTTTAGGGTGAGATGAACTAGTATCGGCGAGATGCAAATGGTGACATCTAGCGGTGGTTCTGTAATACTAATAACAAAACTGGAAATGCTTCGTTCTTACTAATTTTAGACCTAATAGTGCTATAACTCGACAGTTTTCTTTAGGTTTGTGGCAACTTTTTACACCTTACATTTTAAGGCTTTTAGTTTTTAGAGTAAAATTCCATCACGATAAAAGTAATCCACTGATATACGTAAATAGTTATATTGGTGACATCTTATTTCTTATCGCGAATATTCTCATTATATAACTTTCATGTAATGTACACTTATTCCATAAAAGATAAAATTTATTATAAAGCAGCCTAGCTTTTTGTAGTAAATACTAGAGTTTGTACTGTTTTTTCCAAGGCATAACAGTCAATAATTTGACCTATTTCGAACATTTCCTTTATCAATAGCTTTGTTCCTAGTACATTAGAAATAGTCTCCAACAATGAATTTAGAGCGTTATATAAGCATTACATTGAAATGTGGACGCTTCCAATGTTGGATTGCTCTAGGAACAAAGCTAATAGAAATGTTCTTTTATATCCCCAGATCTCTTTCAACGACTTAGATCCGGCAACAGCGCCTTATGACACGCAGCCACCATTCAGTTACCTGATGCCCGGTCACTATAGATTTACTATCCTTACTATCTCCTACTACATTATGAATAATAAGTGACATCCACCGCATATCTCATCTAGAGTGCGTTGGGTTCAATACGGAAACCGATTTCTCCGGTTGCTTCTAATCGCATTCGCACAAGAAACTCCTGTGGAAATAGTTACATGTAGCGTAAATCGTACCGAAGCGATTTTACTTATAGGATTTTACTTCCGCAAATTGTATAGGAATGTTGAAACTCCTACAGTTTTGCAGTTAAGTAAAAAAAAAAGGACAATGATTCGAATAGTACGGTCAAAAACGATTTAAAGAAATAGAATGGGATTAAATAAAAATAAACACAGAAATAACAGTTACCAATAGTTAAGCTGAATAAAAATTACTCTGAAAAACTGCATATCATTTGTTTATATCCTCTTTGCTTGAAAACAAGAGTTTGTAACTTTCTTTTTATCGATTGTATTTAATTAAGGATCAGGGCGACGGAATAAAGTAAAAAATAAACCGAATTGGGGGCAGTTGTTTATTAATATGGTTATCGCGAGCTCAAATAAATATCACTTTTCGTTTCAAGGCCTGTTGTAATATAAGTCGAGATCAACCGCAAATATCTCGATGTCAATAACACATGATCGGTCTCGACACCTTCGGCGAATACCAATTCTATCTTGAGGGCTTGATTTTGACGAAGACATATATTGATCTTCACTATATCGTAAATCCTTAATAACATTTAAGTATGTCCGCTTGTTAATATTTTTTTTCCTTTCTCTTTCAGGGGACATCACCACCAAGGAACCACTAGATCGAGAAAGGAAAGAAACCCACGATCTGGTGGCCGAAGCCAGAGACCAAGGCACTCCATCTCGCAGCTCCAGAGTGGCAGTGAAGATTACAGTGTTGGACGTGAACGATAACGCCCCTGAAATAGTAGACCCCCAAGAAGACGTCGTCAGCGTAAGGGAAGAGCAATCGCCAGGTACAGAAGTGGTCCGTGTTAGAGCCATCGACGCCGACAGCGGGTACAACGCTTCTATAACTTACTCGATACTGAAGAGTCGCGATTCCGATGGTCACGGTGTCTTCGCCATAGATGCCACGACTGGGGTGATCAGGACTCGAATGGTACTCGACCACGAGGAGAAAACTATTTACAGACTCGCAGTTGCTGCCACAGACGCGGGGAATCCTCCAAAGCAAACCGTGAGGATGTTGCGAGTGGAAGTTTTGGACCTCAACGATAACAGGCCAACGTTCACCAGTTCGAGTTTAGTGTTTAGGGTTCGGGAGGATGTCAAGATTGGTCACGTTGTTGGTTCTGTAGCCAGCGCTGATAACGACCAAGAAAATACTATAGCTGGGAGCAGCAGTGCTCACATAACTTACACTCTAACTTCCCTTGTCTCTGATAACATTAGAGACGCCTTCGATATCGACCGCAGTACGGGGTCCCTAGTAGTCGCAAGGGAATTAGACAGAGAAACTCAAGCTGAGTATAGATTAGAAGTGAGAGCACTAGACACCAGCACAATGAATAATCCTCAAAGTAGCGCTATAACCGTGAGGATCGACATAGACGACGCAAACGACAACCCTCCCAAATGGACTCAAGACCCTGTGATGATCCCAATAGACGAAAACACGGATATAGGCACAGCTGTGTATAATTTCACAGCCTTTGACGCGGACAGTGGAAGCAACGGTGATCTGAGGTACCATTTGGTGAAGCAGTACCCAAACGCGAACACCTTCACTGTGGATTCCCTCACCGGTACTCTAATACTAGCTGGGGGTTTAGATTTTGAGACAACCCAAGAATATAACATCGTCGTTAAAGCAACAGATCAGTCGCTGAACGTTTCTGAACGGCTCAGCACCTCAGTCACTGCAAGGATCTTAGTCACAGATTACAACGATAATTCGCCCAGGTTCGTGGTACCTACCACTTCCACAGCGTTGTTAACAGAGTCTGCTACTATCGGAATGACAATAGTACACTTGGTGGCTGTAGACATAGACAGTGGTGATAATGGACGGGTCACTTATGTAATTTCAAGTGGTAACGACGCTGGGATATTCTCTTTAGGTTACGACACTGGTATCCTCACTTTAGCGAAGCCTTTACTGTACAACCAGAAGTCTTTTGTCCTTAATGTCACCGCGAACGATCACGGCACGCCTACGAGAAAGGCCAGTATGGAACTGAAGTTGGTCGTCCAAGGAAATGTAAATGGCCCGCCAAAATTTCTAGAATCTGAATATTCAGCCTCTGTTTCTGAAGACGCTTTCATAGGATCTGTCGTTACAAAAGTCACCGCAAAATCGGGACTGGTCGAAGAAAGTAAGTAGATAATATCACATTTATAACAGATATATAGTATTGACCTTTGAGAGTAAGGATATTTTTGTATTTCTCCGGTATTCCGTTACTTGTTTCGTTTCATTGTGCGGCGTAATTCGTAATTTAGATACGATCAGGCCAGCATCATCTATCTACGTTGAGTTACTGTTAGGTAGAAGCTGCTTGTTTTATCTCCCCATATCGTGTATGTACGATCTGGGATCTAATTAATCTTTCAATTAACCACTCGCGTGCCTAATGGAACAACCTCTATTCATTTAATATAGATGGACGATTAATGCTGTGTGTAAATAAAAATAACATATTTACTACTCTAAGATTACAGAGTAATATCATATCATTCTTGTACCTTATCATTGTAATGGTTCATTTATTTTCAGACGACAATATAACATTCATCATACCTCCTGGCATAGCCGACGACACTTTTGAAATACGCTCTCCAAGCGGGAAGGTACTGACCAAGAAACCATTGGATCGAGAAGCAATAGACACTTACATAATCCCCATCTACGTCAGTGACTTCTCTATGAGCATAACGTTATTTGACGTCAGTATTTTGGTCATAAAAGTCTTGGATGTAAACGACCACGCCCCAAGGTTCCAACAAGGGTCTTGCTACAGACTTTCCTTGCCTGAAAACAGCGAGACCGCAGTCATACACACCATGGTGGCTAACGACTTGGACATTGGTTTCAATGGAGAAATTTCCTACAGTATTACTAACGGCAATGTCGGGAATAAGTTCAGCATCGACATCAAGACAGGTGACTTATCCGCGAGACCTTTAGACAGGGAGAATCACGCGCGGTATCATCTAACAATAACAGCGCAAGACCAAGGTACCCCACCGCTTCAGAGTACCTGCAATTTGACTATTTCCGTAGAAGATCAGAATGACAACGATCCAAAGTTTGACTTGTCCAAATACTCCACTAGTATTCTTGAGGATGTGCCAGTGGACACGTCGGTTTTAAAAGTCCATGCTTCTGATGAAGACATCGGAGTGAATGCGAGGATTATTTATTCCTTAGCCAATGAAAGCCAGTGGTTATTTCGCATTGACAATAAAACTGGTGTGGTTACCACAGCAGGGTAAGTATATCTTGTAATCAGTGAAAAAAATATTTAATGGTAATTTTTTTCCAGATTATTCGATAGAGAGCGCCAAACAGAGTACAACTTCCTCGTCGTCGCTACTGATGGAGGAAAATATAATGCTAGATCTCAAAAAGTGCCAGTGACTGTGAGAATTTTGGACGTAAACGACAACAAACCGATCTTCACTCAGTACCCGTTCAGAGAAAAAGTTGCGGCTTACATTCAACCTGGTCAGACCATCTTAAAGGTGTCCGCCAAAGATGCGGATGAAGGCACGAATGCTGATATAGTCTATAGTTTAGCCAACGATGGCTCTTATGGAAAATTTAGGATAAATCCAAACACTGGAATCCTAATCGCCACACAGTCCCTTGCCAGTAACATTGGTAAAGTTATGTACCTCAACATCCTAGCTACGGACAAAGGCAACCCCCCAAGGAGTTCCACAGGCTTGGTCGAAATCGTGGTGGGCGATATACCTGAAGGCTTTCCCCAATTGAGGTTTCAAAACAGCACCTACATCGTCAACATACCAGAAAATGCCGAGCAGTTCCAAGATATCATACAAGTAGCCGCCGTGAGGACTGACGGGCGTCGCCAAAGAATATTATACTCCTTCGGCACCGGCAACGAGGAGAACATTTTCGTTATCAACTCGGAAAGTGGCATAATCCAAGTGAGAGATCCAAAAAACTTGGACTACGAACTTCACAAAGAGCTGCGGCTGGTGGTCGAAGCGAGGACCGACGGTACGCCCAACTTGCACGGCTACTGCAACGTGGTTATAAATCTCACGGATCAGAACGACAACTCTCCAAAATTCACTCAACAGCAATACTCTGTCAGCGTTTGGGAAGGCAACAAGAAAGGAGCTTTCGTGTTGCAAGTTGTGGCGTTCGACGCCGACGAAGGCCCTAACTCCAGAATCCTCTACCACATCGTCGATGGCAACCACGACAACGCGTTCAAGATAGAGCCTGCCTTCAGCGGTACGCTCAAAACCAACATAGTACTCGACAGAGAAATTCGAGATACGTACAGACTGACCGTTATAGCGACAGATGAAGGAGTACCACAGATGACGGGTACAGCGAGAATCCGGATAAATGTCGTGGACGTAAACGACAATCAACCTACTTTTCCCCCACACAGTATCATAACCGTTAAGGAAGATACCGCCGTTGGAACCGCTCTGACAACCGTTACTGCTAACGACGTCGATACCCACCCCACACTAACTTACAGTTTTGCCAAGGAAAACGATAAGGAGTATTTGAAATATTTCAGTATTGATAGGTTCAGCGGGAAGGTTATTCTGAAAAGGAGCCTCGATTTCGAGTCTTGGCAGGAAGCTAAGCTGAGGATCATCGCGTCTGATACAGCGCATATCGCCCAGACCACGTTAACAATAAAGGTTACAGACGTCAACGACAACGCTCCCACCTTTCTTCAAACTTCGTACTTAACAAGCCTACCAGGTAACATCCTTTGAATTTAATGTCACATGAAATGCTTATGTTTATTGTTTCAGACGGACAATCCCCAACCCTTGCAGAAATTTTGGTGTTAAACGCAACAGACGCGGATACTGATGATAACGCGAAAATAATTTACTCGCTTCTAAATCCCATATCAGGCTTCTCCGTTGGACCTGTAGACGGCATACTGAAGGCGAACTTAACCAACGTATCAACCCTTACTGAAGACGTACTGTTGACTGTCAAAGCGATGGACCAGGGATCTCCACCGTTGAGTACTTTGGTGCCTGTTAGAGTCAAAGTTGGCAGTGGATCCGGATCGGGAGTAGCTTCAATGAACAAAAAAGATTACAGGTAGGTTTAATGTCCACGATATACGTACGAAATTGAGTATAATTAAATTATTTGTTTCAGGATAAACATCGCGGAAAATACAACTTTGGGCACCACCGTGATCCATTTGGCGAAACCGGCGAACCAGAATCAAGTCACGTTGTTCAAGATAACGGACGGAAACGAAGAAGGAATCTTTGAGATTTCAAATCCGTCAGGTGCTTTAATTCTGATCAAGAACCTGGATAGGGAGATTCAAGACAACTACAGCCTAAAAGTGTCTACAGACCCAACCAACTTAGCCGTGACCCAGGTCCTTATCTTCGTGGACGACTCAAATGACAATGCTCCTGTCTTCCAACAAGCAGACTATGAAAGAACCATCAGCGAAGGATTGCCCATTGGGTCCACCATTGAGAAGATCGTCGCGACTGACGCTGATTTAGTGGGAACATCTAACGCGGAAATCGTTTACGACATCACTTCCGGAAACGACGAAGGATACTTCCGAATGGACATGTACTCTGGAGTTTTATACGTGAACAGGACGTTGGACTACGACCAAGGAAACACGGAATATAACTTCGTTATAAGAGCGTGCGACAAAGGTTTACCCTCACTGTGCACACTCAATACCTTTCTAGTCATTCTACAGGACGAAAACGACAACGAACCGAAATTCCCCGTGTCGGAATATCTGGAGTTTGTGGGAGAAAACGAACCCGTCGGTACGGCTATATTCACGGCACACGCCACTGATCTCGACAAAGGCTCCTTTGGTTCCCTCAACTACTCGATAGTTAGTTCAAACTATGCACTATTAGACAATTCTTACAAGTTGTTCCACATAGATTCCTCCACTGGAGTTGTCATTACCTCAACGGTCTTCGATTACGAGCAAAGGAACAGGTACAATTTCATCGTGAAAGCTACGGATGTAGGAGGAAAATCATCGACGGTCAAAGTAAGGATAGAAATCGAAGGCAAAGACGAGTTTCATCCACAGTTCACGGAACGAACTTACAAACTGACTCTAGCGACATCAGCAGCTTTGCCTGTAGGTTACGTCGTCGGTCACGTTGTAGCAACCGACAGAGACAAAGGCCCAGATGGCAGAGTGGTCTATCAGTTAACGACCCAGCACTCCTATTTTAAGATAAACAGAACAACTGGGGATATAGTGATAAAAAAGAAACTGGACAATTCCGAGTTGTCCAATCTTGGACGCGAAGTCAGCTTAGTCGTTACGGCAAGTTCGGGAAGGCAAGGATCCTTAACGAACATGACGGTCGTGGAGATAATCCTCGACCCCCTGGCCGACCCAGGCACCAACCTAGCCATCAACAGAGAAGGCAACGCCACCGTGGCAGCCACCAACGGCGGCATAGCCGATTGGGCCTTGGGACTGCTCATAGCGCTCATCCTGTTGCTGATCACCTTCGGCGCGGTGTTCGTTTTCCTCCACATGAGGAACAAGAGAAACAGAAAGGTAAATAAACCAAATTTAAGTTCTGAGACTGTGTCTACATCCAATAATTACGTAGATCCAAGCGCGTTCGACACAATACCGATTCGAGGAGGGGTGGGACCGCTACCCGGCGGAAATAACCAGTTTGCTCCCCCCAAATACGACGAGATACCACCGTATGGCGCGGGACACGCAGCTAGCTCGAATTCTGGAGCTGCCACTACGTCTGAACTGTCTGGCTCGGAGCAGTCCGGCTCAAGCGGGAGAGGTTCCGCCGAAGACGGTGAAGATGGAGAGGATGAAGAAATACGAATGATAAACGAAGGCCCGCTTCAGAGAGACTCGGGCATTCACAGGCAGAACGACGAGGAAGACAACCTTTCCGACGTTTCCGTGAGGAACACGCAGGAATACTTAGCTAGACTCGGTATTGTGAATAACAGCAGCGGCCACGCGCAGAACGCGTCCCGATTGTGTACAGACCCCCGAGCTGGAAGCAGCAAAGAATCCCTTCACCACCACCAAGCGGTGCCTTTGGACAGCCTCCACATATTCGATGAAGAAGTCGGTAACGAGAACGACATAACGAATTTGATTTACGCCAAACTCAACGACGTTGCCGGCAGCGACAGGGCCAGTTCTACAGACGAAGGTGGAGGAGCGAACGCTTCCGCTCTAGGATCTACAATGGACCACGTGATGGCTATCGGAGGATACGGAGACGTTCCCGCGGTAACCCACCAACCCTCCATGAACGGATCCTTGAGTTCGATAGTGCACAGCGAGGAAGAACTGGCCGGTAGTTACAACTGGGACTATCTCCTCGACTGGGGTCCCCAGTACCAACCCTTAGCTCATGTGTTCTCAGAGATAGCAAGACTGAAAGACGACACTGCATCTGTGCACAGTGGCGCCAGCGGTACGTCTAGTGTTAAGAGTAAGAGCTCCGTCGCTCCTACGAAAAATATCCCGCCTCCCTTAATAACGAGCGTCGCACCCCGGTCCATAGCGATGCCTCTTTTGAACTCTAGGGGTGTGTCTAGTCATCACGGCGGGGTGGGACATAATCAGATGATGATGTTACCAAGGTCGCCCATCAACCACGACGCCTCGGGAGCCACGTTCAGCACCTCCGCCGCCATGTCGCCCAGCTTTTCGCCGTCATTGTCGCCGCTAGCGACGAAATCGCCCTCCATATCGCCCCTCGTAGTACCGGGGTTGCCAACCGCACACCACGTTATGCCGCGGCAATCCACCCAGAACAGGAACAAGTCCGTAGTGGATACAGAACTCAGAATATGATGTGTTTCAATTTCGTATAACTTAAATTAATGTGGTTTGGCTGTGCTACGAATACAGACTGATTCATGAACCTTTTAAATCGATTACCCGTGTATATTCGTGTAAATAAATGAAATGCTCATTTAGGTAGTTTCTTCTGCCTGCCATGTTTAGCCATAGAGACGACTAACAACGTGAATTTTGTGTTTGTTAAATATGTCTTAAATTATTAAATTCCTGTAGATATTGTACCTATTTTTTTATTCCGATTTGTAATTATTTTAGTTAGGGATATGTCTAAATTATTCAAATTGAATCGTTAACCAAATTTATGGAAATTGTACTTGTTCAGTTGACTGAATGTGTATGCGTGAGTGCTTCTTTATTAGTACTGAAGATTGTGTCATAAGAATAGATAGTTGTAAAAAATGTACAAATAAATAAATTTATTAATAACTTGTTTCTATTAATTTCCATCCCGTATATTTAAAAAATAATCAGTAAATGAACGTCTCTTTGAAGAAAAAAAAATACTCAGTGAATTTGACAGTTGACAGAAATTTTTAAAATAAACAATTGATAAAATTGTCGCTGTCAAAAAAGGCACAAAACAACTAAAAATTTAAGTTATGAAAAACACTTTAAAGATACTAATTAATTCCCTTCTTTTTCCTAAAATTTTAACACCCCGTATTTTCGCAACGGAACATTTTTGGACCATATTTTATAAAGCAAACTATCATTAATTTTCTAAAATATTCGCGTATCATTAAGGATCACCCTTTATAAGGGTCTATATCTTATAGTTTGAAATATTATTTCCATAGTCTATTTTACTTATTAAAATTTCATTATTATATGTCATCCATATTTTAAGATGAAACTAGCAACAAAAAATAAAGAGAGGCTCTATTCGAAATATCCAAGAAATTAATCCGCTACAACTTTTATTCGAAACATTTTTCATTATTGGTAATTCCAGAGCTACGAAAGAATCCGTTGTAAATGGAACACCCTGTATTAGACTGAAATAAATAAATCTTGATAATGGGCTCGTTATCTGAACATTTGACAGTCGTCATTGGAAATCCCTTGTTATCATCAGCACGTAACTACAAGTCAAAAAAAACAATGCTGCGATGTTCATTCAAGATTAAAACTTTCCATGCGATTTCTCATTGTATTAAAACCTAAAAAAATTATACAAGTCGTCTTCGAAAGTGAGGTTTTAAATGACGTTTATAGATTAAAAAAAATTATTTTAAATATCAGAGATAAATTTAAAAGAATTACATACTTGAAGCCTGCTCCTCACTTAGTCATCATGAGTCTGTAATAGGTTGTTCACACAGGTCTCAATATAAATCAGCGTTATTTTATATAATAAACAGTTTAAAAAATTAAAGATTTACGAGTCATATTAGAGTTTCGCCTATAACTTTTTTCCGTTCATTTCCACGAGAAAACAGTAAAGTACTTTTTTTTCGACAAAAGACCGTCAAAAAATATTGATTAGATAAAAAGTTATAAACAGAAGAAGTTTATTTATGACTTTTGAATTAAACATTTATAAACTGCGTTATTATTACCAGAACGTTTTGGCAAAAAAATACTCTACTGTTTTCTCGTGGAAATGAACGGAAAAATGTTATAAGCGAAAAACGTGAATTTACGTAAAAATTATACATCAAAACTGAGAATAAAGAAACGGAAGTTGTAACCACTATTTCAAGTATTTCAAAAGGACATAAAAAATTAAAAGATAAAAATATTTAACGATAAAATAAAAAGAAAACAGCCTTCACTGTACCACCTCTCTATAAATAATAATAATTATAATACAAAAAACTGTGTTTATGTTTATAAAAATAGACATAAGCTTCATTTACACGAAGAGATGCCTTTTGAAAAGGCGAATTGCACCATTTTCTGAGTTATCTGATGTTAATCACCAAATTATTTGGTATTCATACAATTTCTCTCTGTCTAGAGCAAAATAAATTAATTTGAATAGAGGAACTCTAATCGCGGTTACTTAAAAAACCCAACAGTAAGAACACCCCGTATCCAGCCCAGGTGTGACACACGGATGCCTGTCACGGCGCGACGGCCGCTGTGGATAATCACTGTCCAGTTACAGTTAAGCGATGCAGCGCGTACTTCCGGCAGTGAAACCAGAGGAAAGACAATGAACGCGCCGTTTCGTTTTGCATTTACAATAGTCAAAATATCCGAAGCAACAACAGCACCGTTCGCAGTACAGGTTATCCGCTCCGCGATAATCTAATCTCGTGTTTACAATGTGAAACAGACACTCCATACGTCATGTATTACGCCTCAACAATTTTGTGGCATTAAGTGATAAGGCGCGCTAAAAACATGGATAGTAATCGTAAGGGAACGTCCAAATTCACCTGTTACTTCTGCAACAAGACCATCGAAAATGAAACGGAAATGGTGAGTGGCTAGAGCATTATTTACCTCCAATTGTAGACGTGTTCTTAATTTAAAGACCCAGTTTGCTTTGCAAAGTTTGAATTTGCTTTTCTGTTTGGCAGTTTCAATTTAACTTATACTCTGAGCGTCATATTGGTGTAGAAAATTGTATATTCAATTTAATTTTTATATTCTTCCAGTCGTACTAAGTATACGATTCAGTTTTGATTTAGTTTTTAGAGAAAGTGGCAAATAATCAGATTAATCTCTCCTCTTGCTTACTCAAATGGGAATAAATTGTTTTTAGCACAAAATAATTGTCTTTTTACAAAGCCACCGCAGTTTTCAAAGTATAAGGGACATACATAACAAAGTATGCGCTCAAAACCTCTTTACATTTCAATGCAACTCTTTTGAAACGCCGACAAAAAGCACAATTAAATCAATGGATCGAATTCAAGGCTGCAATTTTCGCGAGACTTGATTCTTGCATTTGGAAATACCTTCATTTATGCATGCAAAATTAACAATTTATTGTTTAGACAAATACCTGCTGTTCAATTCACTTTGTCTTAAACAAAAACAAAGTTAGATTTAAAAATTTTCCACCTGTCTTTGATTTATTCGCCCGAAAACCGCTTTTTCCGGGGAAAAAAAATCATATTCTCGATTTACTCGTACAAATTGCTTTTTTCTCGGAAAATTTACGAATTATGATCGAGTAAAAGCTAGTAGATGAGATCAGTGTTTAATCAAACATTGCGCTTATCAAAAATTAAGAAGATAAGGGATGGCAGCCATATCTAAATATAGACACGTATAATGTGTGTTTGTATTGTTATTCATAAGGTAAATTTTGTCACGACTTTATTGTTCATCGAAACATGGTAATAGAAACGTTAATATTCAACAACCGTAGGGCAATAAGGTAGGACATAATAAGATCCTTCGGCAGTGCAGTAACAAGAATTATATTTTATTTAAAGATATTGTAACTTTTTCCATTAAAACATTACATAAGTCAAATCACCTATTGAGATTTGAGAATAATCTTTTTTGTAAGCTGATATTTATTGATAAAACATCTTGGATTATTTCCTAGCGACAGGTTGATTGGATGCTGATATATAGAAAGATAATACTAGCATTTGACCATTTATTAAAATAAAAACTAGTATTCTGACGCTACTGGAAACTTTTGTATTCCTCCGAAGACTACATCCTTACATTCGGGTGACAGTTCTGTAAAAACTCCTACCTCCCGTACAACCAATGGAATATAATTCCTGTAATAGTATTTTTCTTTCACTCCAGGGTCATACGACTGTTTGCGGCAGCGTCCTGGTGCCATGTCCAAACAAATGTGGGGCTTATGTACCTAGAATGGACTTCAACAAGCACAAAAGGGAATGTATAAACCGTATAACAAAATCGATGCCTAGGCTATCTCCTCTGAACGACGAAGTAGGGTTTAGGACCAATATGCCAACGACCACTTCATCATTAGGTAAACAAAAATTTGCGTTGGGGTTTGCTTTGCAATATTAGCCAGAAAATTGAAAAGATTATTAAATAAAACTCTATTTTCTGAGGAACTCGATTATCTAAAAATTTACTAATGTTTCCGATCTCGTAACACTAATCAGCCTTGGTCAGATGAGTGGAAAGATTAATAAATTTTTAAAACGGTAACTTAAATTAGAAAAACAGGTATCTACCTTCTAAAATTAATTAATTTTTCCGATCTACTGACTGAACCCTAATAAGTAATTACCAATTATTCAGTTTTAATAGAAAAAATTGTAGAAATTAATAATTTCTAAGTTTTACTAATCTTTCCAATTTTCTAACTTTGTAAAACTGAATAATTATTTACTTCTGTCCTGTTCTTTATGTTTAATTTATTTTTTTGCGGTTTTTTTATTACCAACACTATCAAAAATATCTTCTTAATTTATTTAGCAAGTGTTTCTAATTATCTATTCTATAAGGAATACTCAGAAATAAATTGTAACTGATACCTTTCAACGCAATTGTTACAAACATGTATTATTAATCTCTATGTATAAGGCGGATACCATATTTATATCAATTACACTTTGTTTATTTCAAAACACAATAAACGAGAAAGCATTTTGTATATCTAGAAATAGTTTGAATATTATGTATCTTGATTTTCCCTCCTGTTCTGTTCCTACAATATTCCAGTACATGCATTGCTATTTTTCACAGAACGGCAGACCAATGGACACCCTCAAAAACCGCCCACGAAAATAAACGAAGAAATGTTCAAGCTCTCTAGAAAAGTGGCCGACTTAGAAAAGTACCTCCAGAACCAAGCCAGATCCCAAACCCAGAACTCTCCACAAAGCTACGGCGACTTGAGGAACAATCAAGTACAGCAAAATATGGAAATCGAAAAGGTGAAGTACCAACAAAAAATAACCATAGATTGGAAGAAAAACATCGAAACGCAGATATACAGCTTAAGACAGTCCATATCCATATTCCAAAACTCAAAAAAAGACACTGATATACACTGGATCACCGTGCAAGACAGACTGATGGTCCTCGATAAGATCCAAATGGAGTTAAGTTACTTGAAAGACACAATCTTCAAGGAGCAAAACTACAACAGACAATCAACCAATAATCTCCTACAAGACATAAACGGTATTAAAGATCTAGTCAACCAAGAGCACATTTCGGCCGCGTCGGTCTTCAACGACCACCAGGTGGCGCTAGAGAGCTTAAGACGAGACTCTGACGACTTCAAAAAGGCGTTCGAGGAGCAGAGGAACAAGTTCACCAACATTGTTTTCGATCTTAGAGCTGCTAGTCAAATCGCATCTGAGGCGGCGGAGAAAATCGAAATTTTGGAGAGGGACTTCGGGGAGATCAAGAAGGAAATCAACCAAATCAAGCTGGACATGGAGATTCTCGAAGGGCTGTCGAGTAGCGAAGGTACCGGTAGCTACGGTAGGTTGATTTGGAAGGTGACTGAAGTGGAAGCGAAAATGCAGCGAGCCAAAGATTTTGACAGCGTAGTCAAGAGTCCTGTGTTCTATACACACGAATATGGCTACAAAATTAGGGTAATTAGCATAATATAAAAATTCCTTCACTATCAACTATCATCTTTTGTTACGCTTTTTGCAATGTCTTAAATATTTCTAAACAGAATCCGTCAGCATAACTCATAATGTCGCGTTATACCGAATATGAATAATTGCCGTGACGATGTTTTTAGGGCACGAATTCGTTTTTACCCAAAAATCCACTACCGCGTTGACGCTGTTTTTATGGAAGATTGAATTTCTCTTTCACGCTCTAATAATCGAAAAATATTTGCAGTCGCAGGCGGATATAACGATTCCTTGCATATTAATAGACAATTAGATGAACCGTGGAAACCGCGAAATGATCATTTCTATTAAATATACATGGTGATCGAAGTATACAGGGTGGTGAAACTCTTTTTTAAGAAGGGCACCTTTGACCTTTAGAAACGTAGTTTTTTTTTTCAAATTCCTTTTTGTAATTTCCACACCCTGTCACTGGATAGCTAGTGTAACTTCAAATGAAGCAGTGATTAATGTAGGTGGTTTATTTTTTGCCCTTTTACCACCCCGTTGACGTGTCAGGTACGATCCATATACATATATTGCGTATTCCAGTTGTATAAACAGCGATCAAGCACGTGTAGCACGAAACTATTGGTCGAAACTGTGCGTATCATTCGCGGCTAGATGTCTAGAGTCAATCGGCTGATGAAGGGGTTGTATACAAAATATTTGATTAAAAAAAGTAAGTTATCACGTCATCTATTGAAAATTTATTATTTTTAGATATTAATGTACTTAAACGGAATGAAAAAATGGAAAGACAGATACGCCCTGCTGTGTATCCATGTATTAAAAGGCGAGTATGACATGCTGCTGAAATGGCCCTGTCATATAGAGGGTACGATTATTCTACGCGATTTAGAAAATATAGATAAGGTACGTTTAAAATTTATTTAGAATTACAACATTTCAATTTTTCGAATATCTTTTTCAGCCCAAACCGTTCTCAAAATACATAACGGCAAAAAGACAGCAGAGCGACGAAGAAAATGAAGAACCTCAAGAGTCCTCCTCAACGTTCATCTTCATACCTCACTCGACACTACTCAAAGGAAATTTCGTGAAGGAAGATACTCTGTTTATCGAAGTGAAAATAATACAGAACGCGAAATTAGAGACGAGTTTGTAATGCTAGTACCTGATGATGTGTCTAATCTTATACCAAATTATTTTTGTACATAATTATTTATACTTAATGTTTTTAATGGCATGTTAGATGTGTTAAATAAAAAGGATTTGTACCGACACCGAACCGATTTTTCTTGATCTACACTTCAAGGTGAAATTATATTATTCTGTAAAAGGATCTGCTAATGACTTAATGATATATACTTTCTATTAATAAATGAAGTATAAATATATTTTTAGCAATACAAACAAAATTCAGTACAGTTTTATAATATCAATAAACGTGATTATTTCTTTTATACATCTCTCCACCTTCTACATTCCCAGGAGGATCCTCCTTAGTTCCATTATGTTCGGAACTTTTCCGAAATTCTTGCTGGACATTCTGAATGGGAGGAGCACTTTCACTTTGTGGTACGTCTTGTTTAACTAAAGAATTTAAATAAAAGTTAAACGTCTCTTCTAAAATCACTATGCGAAACATTTCACTTACCAGTTCTAGGTTTTCTACCTCCTCCCATCAAAAACTTTTCAATTATAATCAAAGGCGACTCAAAAGCCAGTGTCCAGAAAACTGCCACAAGTATAGACATTACGTAATGCCCACAGAATATGTAAAACTGGAAAATAAGATAATATTTATATGTAGGTTACAAGGCGATTAATAATGATACTTACGGCATTGTAATCTGTAAAATGCCACGACACCTTTGTCACTAGAACATAGTAGGCTATTACTAATCCATGGACTAAGTATATAGAGTAGGTGAGTCTCCCTAGGACTTGATAGATTGGTCTACACAGTATCCAGTTCACAAAACCTAAAAGTAATGCATGATTCTATTGTTTTTATTTATATAAATGTTATTTTATATTTTTCTAATACCACTAAATTATGTTTCAGGCTTCTATTTTAAACCATTTGGGAGTTATTTCGAATTTTATTTTAGAAATTTGCAGGTCCGTACTTTCGTAAATAGGCTCAACGGACAAAAATTTTACTAAAAATAATGTTCACAATTCCCCCTGATCATCTGATCGTCGCCGTAGTGTGTTTTGCGTCATTTTTATATTCATTATCCCAAATCGTTCTTCAGAATCGAAAAATAAATGCATTGTATGTACCTCCATATCCGTGATAGCAAGAATATGTTACCCAGCTTAATCCGATACACCAAGCCGGACGCACAAGTGACTGGAACACATTTATAGTGGTGGTATCCTTTCCCATTTCAACCAACTGGTAAGATATCAACGAAGCCAACAATCCGAGAATGATCACTGCCCATATAGCCAAGTTTGTAAGCTAAAAATATCGATTACCAATTTCTCGTGTACCTATTCCATTTTTTTAAGGTCTAACGAACTAAAAATCATTGTAGGCCATACTCACATGCTTGGCTTTTTCCTTGATTACGTACAAAAACGGCTTGTCGATTTTCTCCCTCATAAACGTTCCAAGCATAATGCCAACACCGTAGTTTATCAGTCTCGAGTGAGTATCATATTCGCTAAAATTAAGTAGACACGTATTTTCGAAATGTCCAGCGTCTGGAGTGGTATACTCACTTATCGTATTCCGGGAAAATTAATTTAATTACCATGGGCATGAAGGTGAAGAAAATGTTCAAAGCGAGCAGGAGAAACATGGACATTAGAAATTTAAAGGAGTCTCTCAAAATAACGGCTAGGGGTATCATCAGTATTGGGGATAATATAAACATCTGCATGTCTACGGATAAGTACCACGTTTGGGTGAGACACTAAAAAAAAATGGGTAAGCTACATTATTAATGTGTACCTATTCTGTGTATACAGGGTGTCTCATAATTAGCTGCCAACCCTGAACAGGCCGATTCTATGATCAAAACTAAGTAAAAAAGTTCATATGAACATGGGTCCGGAAATGCTTCCTAAGGGCACAGGGACCCATTGAAGAGGGAGGAATGGAAATCATTTTTTTGCAATATCTCTCAATCGCGTTGTGATAAATGAATGAAATTTGGTATACACAGCTAAATTTTGATGAGCAATTTGATGGACTAATCCATTTATTTCCACAAGGTCCATTGGGGTGGGTACGGGGGGGCCCTTGGTACTTTGCGTGTGTAACTTTTTCATCTTTGACTTTTTAACAAATTGGACAGCAAATTCCGTTTTCCCGAACTGTTTTACGTTAAAAAGGTACTCTTGTTTCAAATCGTTATCTTTAACGGTTTCTGAGAAAATCGCTCTTGAATTAATCCCACTTTGGTCAATTTCATAGTAATTTAAACAAAAAAAAATAATAATAATTTTCCTTTCCTCTCTTTTCCATTTAAAGGATTAATTTTTATTTAATTTAATTTTTTATTATTATTTTTTTATTAAAATTAGATTAAATTTAAACAAAAAAATTTTTTTTGTTTAAATTACTATGAAATTGACCAAAGTGGGATTAATTCAAGAGCGATTTTCTCAGAAACCGTTAAAGATAACGATTTGAAACAAGAGTACCTTTTTAACGTAAAACAGTTCGGGAAAACGGAATTTGCTGTCCAATTTGTTAAAAAGTCAAAGATGAAAAAGTTACACACGCAAAGTACCAAGGGCCCCCCCGTACCCACCCCAATGGACCTTGTGGAAATAAATGGATTAGTCCATCAAATTGCTCATCAAAAGCAGCTAATTATGAGACACCCTGTATATTTTAGTTTCGGAATATAATTCGTGAGGTAAATCGTTCCAGAAATTCAATCATTCAAAATTACGAATATTAAATATTACAAGTTTTTTTTCTAAATCCATCTCTTTACGTTCATGTTAGCGCACTAGTTTTATGAACAAATTAAAATTGAATATTACAGTAATCATAACCCTAATTTCTTTCTTAATGAAGAAAATCCTTAGTGTTTGAGAATTGCAATATTTAAAAAGAAAATCAATTATATTACTCAAATAGCAAATGTAACAAATAAATAATTAGCTAATTATTGAAAAATAAAGTAGTTAACAGTAAATCAGTTCAGTCAACAAACCTGTCAAGCCAAAATTGTTATAATTTCTTATATTGTTTGTACATAACTACTACACAAGTACCTAGATAATTAACTTACAATAGAAAAATGCACTTGAGGGCACAAAAATTAAAATTTCACTTTTTTCTTAGTAAACATATACCCTATAGTACATTAAACATTTAAAAAATAGATTACAAAACACAAATAACGAATGTTAAGTACATTTGAGTTGAGAAATGCGTATTTTGATTTAGTACAAATATAGTTTAAATAAATAACATTTCCTTCTAATATAAAATAATTATTTTGTAAGGCTGTGACTTCATCAACATCTTTCTTGTTTACATAAACCGCAATTATCGAAATTTTAATTTTCGTAGATATCTATAAAATTACACATATAGTATTGCTAAAAACCGCTAAATGGCACGTCGATTCATAAGTCGGTCTCGTTAGAATTTTATAAAAATATTTTTTTATTATCTATTAGGAGTTTTAAAGATATTGACTCGAAATTTGATGGTTGTACTTTATTGAGAAATATTGACAGTAACCTATCAATAGAAATTAAAAATACACAACTTGCAATAAAATATGTTTTATTGTTTCCTCAAAAACTGTGCATCCTACGAAAAAAATTGAAGTGACCAATTTCATTCAGAATTGATGGCAGATTTCGAAAAAAAAAATCTAAACTGGGAAAAACCAGTGGCTTGTCATTTTTTTTTATTAAAGAAATTGTGGCATTCTCTCACGAACGCCCCTGGTGCAAGTAGAAATATTCGGATCACCCCAAAAAATGCACATTTATTCCTCTAAAGCGTTTTCCAAATTTCAAGTAAATATCTTTAAAACTCTGTATTTTAAAAATAAATAAAAAATTAAAATTTAAACATCTGTATCCCGGAAACGAAGCATAATTCGACATACGTTTATATGAACTCTTTTTCACAAAATAACTTCGGCAACCACCCCCTAAAATATTTCCCTGTATTTATATTATACGAAAACTTGTTGTGAGGCACTTTTGTAGTATTTCATGTTGAACTCAACTAAATTTTATAGAGTATATGTATAATATAAAGTAATATTACAATTGCTATATTTTACAAAAAACCGGCAAATGATATAAAACAATTCGTATTTGTAAATTTATTGTAATTTGCATCGTCTATAAAGATAACTTTCATCAATAAATAACATTTATTAAATTAATTCTAATAAAAAGAAATGCGTCAATCAACATTTATACTGCTACTTACCAAATCGTCGTAGTTATAGTAATTTTGGATATAAAGGAAGAATGGCCACCAATACTTCCGACAAGTTGCTACCAACTCGTTGGTACTCAACCACAAAGGTCCATCTCCCATGTTTTTAAAAAAAGTGATAGCGACTAGATATAACATAAGCATTGCTGGAGTAAGCCTAAAGCAGAATAAAATACATCGTGTTCCTAATATTATATCATCATGGATTTTGTGACATCTTAAAAGCCCTTCGATATTATCTATTGTATATTTTATCTATATATATATATTTTATCTTATATCTTATATCTTATGTATATTTTAAACATAAAGCTGAGGCAGAAGAACACTGTATAGTATTATTCAAGTATCGCATGTTACGTAAGGGACATTTTTTATCTACAACATGTATATTTTCTCTTTATGGAACCAAACTTAGCTTTCTCTATTTTAGAAATGGATATTATCAATTTTTTCTCCAGGGACTGTTAAGATATTGTACTATAAAATATTCTTCTAACTTATTAATTACATGAGCGTATAATTTTTCATTATATTAAATTTTCTGTGTTTTAATTTTGTGAATCTATTTTCTCATTTGTCCTTTCTCTCTATCCCAATTTTTAACAGTTTTCTTTTCTTGTACCAGCTCCTATTCTAACTTAAACTCAACTTTTATTCCATTAATTTAACTGTTCTGCTACAGTATGGCTAAAAATAATAGCTCACCTTAAATAACGATGTAAGTACATCTGCGGCACGGACAATATTTGATTTACCAACGGTTTTCCCTTTCTTTTCAAATACTGGAAGGCCAGCAAGAACCCAGACATGAAGAAAAACGTGTCCACAGCGAGATGCGATGGAGAAATATACACCGCATAAAAATTATCCAGCCACTGCAATAAGTCATAATGAATTCGAATCAAGACACGCTAAACACTTCACGTACGTTGTTCACCCTATTCCTGTCCGTTACTGACACACCCTGCCACCCCACGAATCCATGGCCAGCCACGATCCACATCATGCTGATCACCCTCAGTCCGTTGAATGGCTCGATATGCTCCTTATTGTTGGAATGCCTCGAAATGTGCAGCAATTTTCTACCGTTCGAAAGGACGGAAAATGATACTAATAAGGGATGATGGTGTTCTGAAAATGACTTAACGTTCAGGATGTCTGCGTTAGAATTGATTATATACTTACCAAGATGGCTCTGGTGGATATAAATGTCATATGTTGTTGAGATGACCATAAGCCATATAAAGAAACCAAATATGGCACTGGAAGTGATAATAAAATTTATATTTTATCTAATCAAAATTCGTTTTTATTTTCTAGTCTCACTAACTTAAAACATTTTATAAAAAACTATCTAATCTAACTTCAAAAAGTTATGCAATGCAATGGTTTTGATATTTGTTATTCTTAGTCCAAGCATTCTATCCAGGAGTAATGTTAAATTTGCAGAAATTATTACCTGGACAAAAAAAATATGACCGTATAGAAAATTAAATTTTAAATTAAGTTTCTTGTTCTTTATACTCGATCCAAAATGGCGAACATGGTTAAAAAAAAATCGCAAAGTTGCAAAAAACAGTTTTTCTAAAATAACTAAAAAAATATAGCACTGATTGAAAAATTTTAAATGAGAAAGTTGTAGGTTTTAAAAAGATCTATCGACAGATTTTTTTGTAAGTATCGATTGCTTTGTTACTTTTCGAGATATATCGAAAAAACCGTTAAAAATCTTCTCTTTTCTTTTCTTCTATAACTCGTTTGCATTTACGTTCCCATATTTGCTATTTACTGCAAGCATAGCCCGCGGCAAGCCAAAAAAGTACATTTTTGAAAAATTTAAAAATATTAATTATTTTTCGAGATATATCGATTTTTTTAAAAAATGACGCTCTCGAAAATTGACTAGATCTTCTCAGCGGATAGCCCTACAGTAACGATTTTCGGTTTATTTTCTTCGTAAAGAGTTATTTTATCATGCTATTAAAAAATGTTGACGATTTTATTAATTTTAAGGATCTTAATGACCTTGAAAAAGTTGCACTTCTTTTGGGTATGTTTTTTTCAAACAACTTTCGCATTTAAAATTTTTCAATCGGTGCTATATTTTTTTAGTTATTTTGGAAAAACCGTTTTTTGCAACTTTGCGATTTTTTTAACCATGTTCGCCATTTTGGATCGAGTTTAAAGAACAAAAAACTCAATTTAAAATTTAATTTCCTATACGGTCATATTTTTTTTTTGTCCAGGTAATAATTTCTGTAAGCATTTCTCTATAATGCTTGAACTATCTGTCTTAAATCTTATACCAGCATTTGTATACTGTAAATAACAACAAAGAAACTGTTTTCTCGGTGTAACTAACTGAATTATTGCGAATTTTTGATAGAATAAACTTACACTACGGCAATACTACCAGGACTGAGGGTACTATTAGTTTCCGTTGTCTGGCACATGATGTCTTGGAAAAGTTCCGGAAACCCTTCAATCATGTTCTGGGCCATGGCGTTAAAATCACTGGCGTTACAAGCGTCAGGTCTACACATTGACAGTCTGTAGAACGTCTGGAAAATACCCACCACCATTATTACTGTTTACTATCGTGATGGAATACTCACGGTTGGGTCGGATATGTTGTCGTTTACGTCAGGAATTACTAAACCTACAGTGCAGTACTTTCCCAAAATCCTCCCTCCTTCGTAAGTGTGATCGACTGTAAGGCACTGATCGAAGTTGCCGTAGTTCAGTTTTGAGGCGAAGCCTAAGCCTGGATACGGAAATTTTGAGGAAGCGTCCAAGACTACAAAATTTTGAAACATGTAACAAAATTCGTTTACAAAAGTGAAATTAAAAGTCTACACATAGGTATTTAATATTCGGGTATAATTGGCGATATGAAAGAGATCATATATTAAAATTTCAAATATCAATTTTTACATGTTCATTTTGAAAATCACTGTCCAAAGGCAATTACTTCAACGACGACTTTCTTGTTTACCGGAAATCGTAACCAAATTTTAAATTTCGACGACTGTAACAGGACACAGATAGTCTTGGTGAAAATTATAAATAGCACACCTTCAAAAGAATCATAAGTCTTGATGGTTTTGTTTAGAATTTGAAATTTAGTCACAAGTCCTAATCTTTGCCCTTCGAATTTTTAATCCCTAACTTTTAACATATTATCTCAGTACGGTAGACCCAAATGTGTACGTATGCGTTGGAATTATGAATTCTCCTTAATCTTATCAACCGAGGCATTAATTAATCATTCTTCAATCAACTCCCATAATTTATGGCTCCATGAAAGCCAGACGTTTTACGACATTTAAGTTTTTCTTAGATCTTATATACTAATATATTTATAGAGCGTCAATAAAAGTGTAAGTGAGACAGGTTTCAGTAGACATTTCAATCTTAATACGGTCAGATAATAATGATAGATGTATTTTTATTTATTTATATTTACTGCCACTGGAAAATGAGTAGGTAATGGGTAATTTTAAAGAAAGACGAAATATTGTCTAAAGGTACTTATTTGTGGCTAGTCTTCGTTTTTTTTCTTTATTTGTTGGGAATTTTGCCAATTTTTTGAACAATGAAATTTGCCAAATTGCAATTGTATCGTACACACAATTAAAAAAATGGCAATTCTTTAGATACGAGTGTTTATAGAAAACCAACTCACACTAGCAGATATCTAAATTTCATTTCCAATATACAGGGTGATTCACAAATGGTGACCAAAAATGAAACCTCGCATTCTTTGGTGAATTTTAAGGGGTCTTTCGTATAAAGAAAAAATATTTTTAATTTTTTTAATTACTTTAAAAATTGGTTATTGAATTAATTTGAAACTGGGCACATGTATTTATGTAAACATTGTCCAATATCTGAGGCCTTTTCCAAAAATTTACATATTCCAGTAGCGGAGATACAGGGTATCGATGGCATATTTTTCTAAATAAAATAGTACGCCACTGCTTTACGGTAACAACCATGATATTTTCGGATTCAACTTTCAATTTTCTACAAATTTTTACCCTCTTACGTTTTTCGAAAAAAATACTAATTTTCGAGTAAAACTTAAAAAACGAACTCAGAACACACTTCGATAGTCGAATATAATGCTTTTTAAAATTACATAGTGGGCTGCGATAGCAACTTTGACATTCTGAGCAGTTAGAAGAAAGAATAAATAATGTTTTTCATCGGATTCAAGCAACAATACATTTCGAACAAATAACATTTATTAAAAAGATGTCGTGTGTTAGTGGAAATGGAGGTATTTTGAGCATTAACTCAAAGAAATTTATTAAAATGTTGACAAATGTTATTAATTTCTTTATTCGAATAAATAGCCGCATGATTATTGATTATCATGTCAATTAAGTAAAAGTGGAGCATGTAAATTTTAGGAAAAACCCTCAGATTGTGGACAGTGTTTAAATAAATACATGTGCCCAATTTCAAATTATTTCAGTAACTAGTTTTTAAATTATTTAAAAAAATTAAAAACATTTAAGTTTAACACCCTGTATCTATTTAACGAAGCGTAATGGTCTCCAACAACAGGCTGAGACAATGAAACAACATCGATAACTTAAGAGAACTTATTGCATAGCACAAACAAATTGATGCAACAGCGTTAAAATAAACAAAATTATTATCACAAATATATTTGAGTGAATTGACCTATTTTTTACTGACGAAAATTAGAACGAGGTAGATATTTGATTTGAAATGAAAAAATTGAGAGCAGATCTCAAAAAATCTGGAATATCGTGATGATTGTTACAATGTCTATAAACAAACACAAAACAAATACCTATTCGGTATAAAAGTGACTGTGGTTATAATCAGCATTTAAAATTTAATTTGAAGAAATAAAAATTAACGCATAGTTATGTCATACAAGTGATTCAAACATGAAACATGAAATATATTCTATAGTTTAAGATATTTAAGAATTTACGTTGCATGTTTGGTCAAGCCGGAGTTTTCCTTTAAAAACGACTTAGAATTCAATAATAAGTTATCGAAATGTTCTTTTTTCTGGCTCTTTGAACAACGTAAGCAAATCTACTAGCTGATGAATGAAATGACAAAAGAGTCTCGTGGTAGACAATTGTGATGCTGTGGCAGCATTTTGGTAACATTCATTATATATACTAATAGTCCAACAGTACTATAAATACGGGCGAGTTTAAGCACCAAAAATATGTAAATAATTATATCTAAATTCTTATTTAACATTACAACAGTTCTTTGTTTTAAGACCTAACTGAAATGCTATTGTAGAAATTATTTATTTGAAAATGTTGTTATAATTTGCACATATCTAGATTAAAGTTTAACAAAGGATCACTTGAATATTTTGAAGCTTTTAGATGTGGTTTCTGATAAATTCATTATTAAATAAAAACAAAAACGCAAAATATGATCTCGCGATGAAAATATCTTTAATTATAACTATCTTCTTGTGGGAACAATGTATTTTTAAAGATCTCTAGTTTTCTATCAAATATTAACACATAGTGTAAGGTACGAGTATATAAAACAATTTTTTTTAAATAATATGTAGAAAGATATCCATCTAATTGTCATATATACAACAGTGTTTATATTTGGGGGAAAGGAGTAATTCTTTTACTTACTGGTCGTCAACAATGTTACATTCGCACAAACAACATCCAGCTGCTCTGCACATTTTTCACTAACCCCTTCAAGATTCAAGTTCGAACAAATTTCTCCCAAATCGGGTATGTCAAACTCGTTCTGTGAAACCCTTACATGGTCGACAGTGCAACTGGCCACACCCAGACCTATAACCACTAAGATCCACTTCTTCATCTCGTTCTTCAGTCTCAATGCAACTGTCGTCCACGAAACATTATTGAACGCGGTACATCTGGAACAGATAATTCTTTGTCGAAAATATCAATTAGATTATCAGTAGAGGAATTAGTATCTCGAGTGGCTTTGATGGATATTAAGATATTCACTAATAGAATTGAAAGTTGTACTGATAAAAGTGAAACAATGTGGCGTAGAACATCTTCCTAATCTTAAAAGACAAGCGTTTTAAATAAAAAATATATGCCTACTTCAAAAATACTTTTACCTTGTACAGCATGACTCGAATTGCGCAATGATTTGAGCAAGAATTTTGTTTTTCCGGAAGAAGAGCTGCATATTTTTTTATTTTTTTCAGAATGTAACGTACCTTTTTGCATGAGTAGACGAACTAAAATCTATTGGGTCAATTATTATACCACTTTATTTTTATGATCACTAAATGAAACATAGGCTACACTAACGAATCATAAAAATGTTGTAAAAGTGATAGTTTAAATATTTCCGGCAATAAATAAATAAAGAAAGAATATAATATTAGTAACGACCAAAATTACCCAAATTTTAATGTCAATCTAAAATATGTAACAGATCTGAGTTTATAATAAAATAAAACAGTCTTTTTCAATTTTATTATACGCATCCACTTTAAAAATATTCTCATATCCTTTAAAAAAGTCAGTGGCGCACATTTCTTTATCAGAAATCTTGGTTAAGGTGCCCCCCAGGACTCCACTGGACTTGATAATCTTAATCTAATTAGGGTCAAATTACCCCCTTTTTACCATAAATAACACTGCCAGATTTCAACAAAATCGGCTAAAGAATTATTAAGACTTTTACGAAAAACCGATTTTTTAAAGAAAGTTTAACACCCTGTATCTTCAAAACGAAGCATTACCAGACCTAAGTTTATATAAACTTTTCACCTTAGAATCATTCAAAGAATCACCCTTTAAGGTTTGGCCACGTACTTAAATAACACCCCGTATACAGGGTGTTCCTGAAAAGAATGAACAACGCTTGACCACAGGTTCCTTGGATGAAAATAAGACTATTTAGTCTAACTTACCTATATACAAAAATGCACGCTTACTGAGATATAGCCTTCTAGATATAGAATAGATAACCTATTTTTTTCAAATAATTTGAAAACTATTTTTCTTAGAAACTTCAAATTTGGTACACTTATTTTTTTATATAAGGGCAAGGTAAATATAGAATTTGGAGAGAATACATATACAGGATGTTCTATTTCTAGCGCCTGTGCGCCACTGGCTATCCCGTAACTTTTTTATGTGTATGCCAATGACGACAGAATTTATATATTTAACATTAAGCACTATTTTAGAAGATTTTTTTGCTCTTACAAAATTTCGATATCGTTTATGGATTTAGAGTAAAATTCGCATATTTTATACATTAAATATAGGCAAAAATTCCGATTTATAAAAAATAATTTATAACTACAGCCTCAAAGCAGGGAATAATAATGAAAAAACGTCACATTAAAAAAATAACTTCACATTTTTGGTATTAGTATTATCAATCAATAAAGTAATAATCAACAGTAATATTTCAAATAAACTGATATTTGTAATCACATTAAAATAATATTACAGTAAATGTTCAAAGTTACTTTCTTGTTCTTAAACGCAAACATTAGTTCTTCAAAAATTAGAAATTATCCAATAATTGTGCATTACCTCTCATAACATTAATTTCATGTTGTATTCTTTCCCATATTCGTTTTCTGTATTTACTGAAAAGTTATTTTAAACTGTAGTCCTTAACGCTCCCCAAATGAAATAATTACATGGGTTTAGGTCCGGGGATCGAGGTGGCCATTTCAGAGGGGCAATATTTCCTCTACCTATCCACCTGTTAGACCTTTAAAAACCTGTAATACCTACATGTACCCTGTAATACCTGTGACCTGTAATAACTGGTCTTTTAATATTCTATTAAAAGAACTTTTTGAAAGCCAACCTCTGCCGCTAAACGCCTTTTGTTTACTTGAGGAATTTCTTCGACCCTTTCCAAAATTTGTTCGTCCAGCTGAATAATTCCGGCCGTACATTATCCACGATTTAATGTTACAGGTAAAAAACGTCCTATTTCCCGAAGGCGTCTCTCCGCATTAGCAAATGTTTTGTGATTGGGACTTCTTCGATCAGGAAATCTTTCAGCATATGTTCGAACAGTAGCACAACAATTTCCTTCTCAGTAACCCAAAACTATTAACATATCAGTTTGTTCAGCAAAAGTATAAATTGCAATAAAAAACAAAGTAAGCTAAAATTAAATCACAGCTAACTTGACACAGAACCTTTTAATTATTGTTATGAATTTGTTTCTTTGTTATATGGCACCTCGTACTACAATGTTCTATTTATCTTAAACTGATTTTATATTATTTAATGTGGAACAAATGCCAATTTTACTCGAAATCCATAAACGATATCAAAATTTTGTAAGAGACAAAGAATCTTCTAAAATAGTGCTTATTTTTTAAAATATATATAATTCTGTCGTCATTGGCGCACATACAAAAAAGTTACGGGATAGCCAGTGGCGCACAGGCACTAGAAAGAGAACATCCTGTATATGTATTCTCACCAAATTCTATATTTACATTGCCCTTATGTAAAAAAATATGTGTACCAAATTCGAAGTTTCTAAGGAAAACAGGTTTCAAATTATTTGAAAAAAACTAGGTTATCTGTTCTATATTTAGAAGGCTATATCTCAGTAGGCGTGCACTTTTGTATATAGGTAAGTTAGGCTAAATAGTCTTGTTTTCATCCAAGGAAGCTGTGATCAAGCGTTGTACATCATTTTCAGGGACACCCTGTATATCAAACGTAACAGTTATATTTTCGTCGAATTATTTTTAATATAATATTATCAAGATCTAGTGAACAATTAAAAAGTTTATCTAAGTATATTTATCTGTTGATGTCACAAACAAGGTAACTACATTTTTTTTAGTTTACAAATTCAATTGTGTGACGATTTAAAAAAAAATATGGCGTATAAACAATATGCCTCATATTTATATAATTCTGATTGCAATTTGAATATACGAATATTATATCCGTTTAGCTTTGCAGATAGTAGTGAGATTTATATCAACAATAAAACTTGTTATTGCCTATATAAAAATCAATTAAGTTTTGTTTTGACACATTATTCTATGACTTAATCTTATAATAGCTGTAATTAACAAATTGGTAAGCAGCTCTGATAAGTTTTGGTGAAACCATTAGAAAATAAATAGTATAAATTTTGATTTTTTATTTACATAACTGATAATTGCACTGCGAATCCTGAATCACGCTAGTTATATACGCGGTAGAGTGGGTGAAAAGCGATAATCCCGCTCCACCCCGCTCCATCCAAGGTCATAAGTCCTGCCAAGGATATAATACAACACCACGTTTAACATTATATATGCATAGTAGAATTTTCATTACCTACTTTTTATAACTCATTATAAATTAAAAGCGTAGCAGAAGTAGAGCAACACTGGAGACATTTTTTAAATAGTTCTGACAATATTAGCTACACTGCAAAAAATGTAAACCTTGAAAAACGTAAAATTACGGCACGAATCATTGGCAATTCTGTTACCTATGATTCGTGCCTGAATATTACTGAGCTTATATAAATTTACAAAAAAGTTGTAAATTCACATCGTAATTTTAAATAGATCCATACATATATTACTGTCTGATTTTACATATATAATGTTACAATTTTAATAAGTACTAATTTAATTTTACCTTGTAAAACTGTAATTTTACTTTGTAAAATTGTAATTTTACTCTGTAAAATTGTAATTTTACATTGTAAAATATTAATGTTATCATGTAAAATTGTAATTCTACAACTTAAAATTGTAATTTTAATATGTAAAATTTTTGTTTTACACACTATTTTTACAATGGTGTTGTAAAACTATTTTGTGTTTTTTAGGTTCACACAGTAAAATTGTATTATTTAGGCCCGGTACTTTGAGTCTCGGTTAAAGCTGGATTAACTCATCAGACTGATTAGACTTTACATATACTGATTTATTTTATAAATCACAGTCTAATCGCTTGATTAGTTAATCAAACCTTAACCGAGACTCAAAGTACCGGGCCTTAGAGATATTTTTACACCTACATGTAGAAATGCAGTGTATTTTCACTAAATAATGCATATGGTGTAAGTTGAAAATTTTACGTAGATATAATTTAGAATAATGTAACATTTAAGTTTCATACTACAAAATTATAATACATACCTTTTTTTTTCTTTTTCGTAAAGGTGTCAAACTAACTTAAATCAATTCCCATCAATGTAATTTTGTGCAGAAAAATTCAAAAGTGAGCTGTGCGCTGGCTAAACTTTTGTTATTAATTAACAGTTAATAAGTTTTAATACACACATTTCACATAAAATGTCACTAACAGCAATGCTATTGTACATAAATATTAAATAATAAAGTACTTATTGTTAACTTCAAATTTAAACTTCGTTAATAGGTATAAATTTATTAAATTCCAGTAGGATATGCTATTTAACTCCGTAGCGCTGGATTTAAGTAAAGTAAAGTAAAGTTTAAGTAAAGTAGTTCTGAAAGTTTTTGTTAAAATAATGTTTATTGTGGACAACTTTGACTATCTGTTATCCGAAATTAAATTTAATCAAAAAGCAAAAAATATAATGTAATGTAACCTCCAAGTCAGCCGAGCTAACCCAAACATATTAGAATTGGACCTCTTAAAAAAGTTATTAAGTTAGTTTAAATATTAAGAATAAGTATATCATTAAGAATGGGCAATCTCTAAACAGGAGTTACTACACACCAAAATGTGTTCTGATTTACTGAAGTAACAGAGAGTAATACCTGTACAGATAGCGGCAAATTCAGCATCAAATTCGTAATTCTCGTGCCAAAAAACATAAAATCACCAATTTTCGAGTTGATTCTGCTGAAAATTTCAAAATTATTGAGAAATTTGAAATTAAAATTCCAACTTTGTTGTTGGTCCAGTTTAGAGATTGCCCATTCTCAATG